ACACACACACACACACACATACATACGGTGGGTACGGAAAGTATTCAGACCCCTTTACATTTTTCACTCTTTGTTATATTGCAACTATTTGCTAAAATCATTTAAGTTATTTGTAGCCACAGTGATCTTTGGGTTCTTCTTTACCTCACTCACCAAGGCTCTTCTCCCACGATAGCTCAGTTTGGCCGGACGGTCAGCTCTAGGAAGGGTTCTGGTCGTCCCAAACGTCTTCCATTTAAGGATTATGGAGGCCACTGTGCTCTTAGGAACCTTAAGTGCAGCAGAAATTTTTTTGTAACCTTGGCCAGATCTGTGCCTTGCCACAATTCTGTCTCTGAGCTCTTCAGGCAGTTCCTTTGACCTCATGATTCTCATTTGCTCTGACATGCACTGTGAGCTGTAAGGTCTTATATAGACAGGTGTGTGGCTTTCCTAATCAAGTCCAATCAGTATAATCAAACACAGCTGGACTCAAATGAAGGTGTAGAACCATCTCAAGGATGATGAGAAGAAATGGACAGCACCTGAGTTAAATATATGAGTGTCACAGCAAAGGGTCTGAATACTTAGGACCATGTGATATTTCAGTTTTTCTTTTTTAATAAATCTGCAAAAATGTCAACAATTCTGTGTTTTTCTGTCAATATGGGGTGCTGTCTGTACATTAATGAGGAAAAAAAATTAACTTAAATGATTTTAGCAAATGGCTGCAATATAACAAAGAGTGAAAAATGTAAGGGGGTCTGAATACTTTCCGTACCCACTGTATATCGCCCAGTGCAATGCATGCTGTTTACATGCAGTTATAAATATATATTTTCTGATTAGGTAATATTAACATAATGAAGTTGTTCGCGATCACAATTCACATTACATTCAAAAGAGATAAATGACCACAATTTAAACAGTAAAGATTTTATTGTGCAAAAAATGTGAATCTAATTATAGGTATATGTTTTACACGAACTAAATGAAGCATGCAAAAACATCAACAAAATTCAAAATAATTTAAATTTAATTAGATTAAATAGGCTAGAACATGTGGGTCGGATTGTGGGTGTTGTATAATAAATATATTACAATAAATTTCCATCCGTTCCATCTCGCGCACAGCCGCGTCCCCACAGCTTTCAAAGTATACTTGGATGAGCGCAGATGGACGAACTCGACACATGCGTAGTATCGCCTAGACTTCTATCTCAACAGTCACCTGTTGTACGCAGACCGTCCATGCGCTGACAAAAATTGGACAGTTCTAATGACCAAGCCACCACCCTAATGTCATCATCCATCGCGATGTTTCACTGTAGACATAGTGCGATGCCAATTTGTTAGACATCGTCCAACCCTAATAGTTTAGCAAACAAATGTTACAAGGCACAGTGAAAACATTTGGATTCTTGTCGAATGAGGGAGGCTCGTGAGCCCAATGCCCTTTCAGTTTCACTTTAAATAAATTAATTTTAGCTTTCCGTTTGTATGTTGTTTAAAATTAATGCTGTAAAACGATTAACCGCGATTAATCGCATCCGAAATAAACGTTTTTGTTTACATAATATATGTATGTGTGCTGTGTATATTTATTATGTGCATATAAATACACACACATGCTTGTATATATAAAAAAGTTGTTTATATATTAAATATATTCATTTATGATATAAATTATATGAATATAAATATAGGCATGTAAATACATGTAAATATTTTTAAAAATATATACTGTATGTGTGTATATTTATACATACATAATAAATATACACAGAACACACACATATATTATGCAAACAAAAACTTTTATTTTGGATGCGATTAATCGCAAATTTATAATGAATGCTGCTATAGCCTAATTTGTCTTTTATTTTATAGTTTAGTACCTAATTTTATTGCTACTTATTTTTCATTCTTGTTTGTAAAGGTTTTGTTATATTTACTATATTTACTGGTATTTAATATACATATAAATGAATGTAATTGTTTGCAATTACAAGTTTAACGGGTGTTTTTGGAGTATGAATTATTCTTTCATGAGATTACTTCCTTTTTTTGGCTGGGTTACCTTTCTCTTCTGTATATTGTAAACTCTAGGCTTCTAAACCAGGGGCGTTTTAGGGGCGTGATATTCAAATGACGATTGTTTTCAGTCACCACATTTATTAATGTACGATCATTCGTACGATGGAATTGGAGGAATATGAAAGTTTCATGAATCACACGTGAAGTCGTAAGTTGATTTGTACGCTCAGATCTGTGCTCGTTTCATTTTGGAACTGATTAATTGTTGGCCTCGTTGATCTGAGCTTATGCACCTCAGTTTTGAGTGAATATTCCAAGAATTATCCACCTGTTCTGGTTTGTATATGTCCAGAAACACTATTTTGTGTTACTCTTTCTGTTTGTGCTTTTTTGCATTTACGTTTGCATATTTTGTGCATACTCTTCTAGAGAAGAATCAGCATTGAGTACAGGATAACGAACAGGGCTTCAAATAGCATTTCTTCATAGCTCGGCATGTCGGAACACTAACTGGCAGTCCACTGCCCTGACATTGCAGTGAATTGAATTAATAATGATGTTTTCTCTCTGTCCTTTGTTATTAGGGGTTATCTCTATGCAGGTCTGGAGTTTGGAGCTGAGTGCTACTGTGGCCATAAGATCCAGGCACCCAACGTGTCAGAGAGTGAATGTAATATGGAGTGTAAAGGGGAGAAGAGTAACCTCTGTGGAGGACCTAATCGACTGTCCATATACAGACTGGAGCTGAGCCAGGAGTCGGCCCGCAGATGTGAGCACCCTGACACACACATACACTTACACACAGACATCTGCAAGCTCATGCTCGCATATATCTGGACGGGTGCACATATGTGACTCATCACTGATATCAATCTCAAAAGCGGAAAGGAACTCATGACTTTCATAGATAAGGCCAACTAATTTCTTACAGGAAATTGGGTAAGACTTTACGTAAGATATTGTTTGCTAATATTAACTACTTTGGTTGACATGAACTAACAATAAACAAAGCTTCAACAGCATTTATTAATCTTAATGTTAATTTCAACACTTATCTGTTTTAAATTTTAAAAGTTTACATTTGGTTAATGCACTGTGAACTAACATGCACAAAAAATTATCAGTTTTCAATATAATTAACAAAGGTTAAGAAATGCTGTAAAATAAAGCAATAAGCCCCGTGAAGCCGTGGTTTACAGTGAATTTATAACAGCTAAGGGGTGTTGTTAGGCACGACACGAAGCGGAAAACCCCTTTAGCTGTTATAAATTCACTGTAAACCACGGCTTCACGGGGCTTATTGCTTTTATAAAACGGTTGTTCCATATATGTAGCAAGGTTTCACAAAATTTCCCTTTAGCTGTTATAAATTCTCTGTAAACCACAGCTTCACGGGGCTTACTGCTTTTATAAAACGGTTATTCCATATATGTAGCAAGGTTTCACAAAATAAAACAAAGCAAATAAAATGTAATGGTATTAATAAAAACATTATTCTTCCGCCAAACAATGTAGTTCCTCAGAAACGGTTGAGTTTGCAACAAAGTGGCTGCCGAGCAACACACAGACATAAACAAAGGTGTGTGTTTGTAGAGTAATTTACAACAGCTTCGAACGCGGCTCAGCCAATCAGAATCAAGGACCGGAACTCTCCGTTTCATTAATATATTTTCCTAATGTTAACAAATGAGTCTTTAATGTTTATTGTTAACAGAAATTGGCTGTCTTGTTTATCTTTAAGCTGTTTTGATAATCAAAGCGTGATTGAAAGAGCGTAGCGCAGGGCAAATGGCTCGCCACCATTGAGCTCTCGGGGGAGTGATTATCATGAATGATTTCTGCTCTTTGTTTTCTAGTGATCGCGGAAAAATTCAGTCGCATTGCTTCAGGGTTCCCACGTGTCCTGGAAAATTGTTATTTAAAAAAATGTAATTGTCTTTTCCTGTATCCAAGAACGAACAGTTCACCACTGGCCCGAAACGATTAATGTTAGTAGTAGAAAAAGTACCATAAACATGGCATAAATCGCAACTGGCCAGTTTTTTCTCCAAACATGTGATCTACAGTCACCTCTTTTGTTTTATTTCAGGCAATCTCTGTTCCAGACTTTTAAACAAACTGTATTACAACCATTTACCAAAATGTCATTTGTGTGGAAATATTACAAAGTCTATAAACGGGCCGTTAACAAAAGCAAGAGATGCTGAAGAAACAATGAACAAAAATAATTTGTTGTAATTTATAATTAAGAGCTCATTTTAAAGAACTGATTTTATAGTTAAGTCATGGCCATCCTTGTCTTTTATTCCCACCATAATTAAATAAAAAATGTCCTTGAAGTCTTGGGAAATTATCTTTGGAAAAGAGTGGGAGCCCTGGATGATTGTTTTTCCTATCTCATTCATTTGTGTTTATTTATTGTAGCTTTGAAAACTTCTGCCAGATCCTTTTCACAACATCTGTTTTTCGAATAAACTATGAATAAAATAAAATTCATATCCATTTCCAGATCTTTATGGCACGTCCTTCACCTTTTCCCTTATGCCTCATGTTTCCTTTATTGACCAAAAATAGCACAGGCAGAAACTTGTGACATTCCACCCCGTGTGTCCTGATTAAGCACTTTTCTCATGTGACAGGATATCTGTTTGCGTATGAGAGGTTATGTGATAAACACAGCAAGTGAATACAATAGTTGTGCAGGAACAACTTAGCCTTTGATGAAACCATTCTTAAATGAATTGATAAAAGACTATATCCACATAGTGCAAATAGTGTCAGATACTATTTGAACATCAGTGTATTGCTTTTTTAATGAGTCGGTCAAAAACATTTACAAGACAGTAGCTGGTGAGGTTTTGAAACGCAATCAATCCTCACATTTTCTTCAAAAAATGGTATATATGTAGTTGTTTTTGTTGGTTTTACATTTTTAAAAATTCATATTTATTTTGCTTTTTAGATGGGAGTGCCATCTTCAAGGGCTGTTTCAAGAGGCCAGACAACGTGACCCTGGCGCTTCCTGCTAGTGCCGTAATTAAAAACATGTCAGTGGACAAGTGTGTTGACATGTGCACAGAGAAAGTGAGTACATCTGGTCTCTCTCATACTACAGTACTGTGTTTATAGTCTGTCCTATATCATCTTTTTCCTTTGTGTGCTATAGGAATTCTCTCTGGCAGCCTTGGCTGGTGAAAAATGTCACTGTGGATTTCCTACTCCACTCTTCACCCTGCATGAGCGTGAGGATGAGGAACTGTGTCTCCAGCACTGTGCAGGAGAAGACTTTGAGAGCTGTGGAAACAATGACTTCTTTGTAGTGTACCAGACCCAAGTGCAAGGTAGCATTCATTTGTTTGGACCAAAACAATGTGCTCAGCTGAGCGCACAGACAGCCCACATGCACAATATTTCCCGTTTTAAGACTAGAACAAACATGTCAGGCCACTATAGAAGCACAAAATATAGCCCAGTTCAGTCTTCACGGTGTTTCAAATGTGTGATGAGCTCTAACTGAGCTTTTGTGGCTGCATATCACTTATCGGGGTCGACCCTCACGTTTGCTAAGTTCACACTTCCTCTACACTTCCTCCTCCGTCAAAGTAAGAAGGCTTCACCGATAGCTTCACCTGTAAATTTGGCACTAAATCAATAGCATATATCATGCATTTCAGATATCTGTAGATGATTTCAATAAATGCATGCTTGTGACACTTAAATGGTGCAAATGTTCTGCTGTGCAAGCAGAGCCTTTTTCCGACACGTGCACATACATGCACTCGGCCACAAAACCACATAGAGTCACTTTGTTGACTTTGAGGCTGGGGTGATTGCCCGTTTTTAAGTACTGGTTAGTTCTCACCACAGTTTTTAAATATGCTGCACAAGTGTGTGTGAAGGGGAGGGGATGGCACATCAAAGAGTTAAAAGCATCAAAGCTTCCCTCAAATATACGCTATAGCTATTACATAAAACAATAAAAATCAAGAATATGTGGTTTGTTGATTCTCGTTAACCTTTATTTTATTCACAAAGAAAAGGTTTCCAATGATTTCACTGGCCAACTTAAATGTATTTTGTAAATATAAAGAGATTTTATATAATTTTTCTCATTTTGATGGCTGCAACACACTCCAAAAAAGTTGGGACGGAGGCATGTTTAACACTCTGTCACGTCATCTGTCCTTTTAATTACAGTGTTAAATTGTATGAGAATTGAGGATACTAATTGTTCAAGTTTTGCATGCAAAATTTTTGTCCTGTCTTGCTTGATACAAGACTTCAGCTGCTCATCAGTCTGAAGTATTTATTGTCGGATTCTCCTCCATACATTTTCAATAGGAGACAGATCCGCTTGCCAGTCAGTCACATCCACATGTGTCTATGAAACCACGCTATTGTAACACATGCAGAATGAGACCTGGCATTGTCTTGATCTAATAACCATGGACTTCCCATGATAGACTGCATCTTGATAGCAGTATATGTCTCACTACAGCTCTGTATTAGGGGCTTTTGCACCGCATCGTTTCAGGAACTAGCTAGCATGGTGGTTCATAGAGAACCAATTTCCCCCTTGGGCCTTTTACGTGGTTGCATTTGCACCGGCGGCAGGAACTCTGAAGCAGCCGACAGCATCTTCTTTGTTCGTGAATATGTTTATTCTTCATGCTTCGATTGGCCAATCAGCATACATTTACGTCACTGGTAGCTCCTATAGAACTGTTTTAGACCCTACTCTGAAGTAGGAGCTAATTTTGTTTGTCCAAACAGAGTTCCTAAAAATGAATATGTTCTTAGTTCCTGCCGTGCGAACACGCCAAAAAGCAAATACTTACGGCAATAATTCTAGGAACTATGAAAAGGTTCCTCCGGTGCGAAAGCCCCATATGCCTTCATGTCAATGGTACCTTCGCACAGATTCCAGTCACCCATGCTTTTTGCTCTGCTTAACCCCCATAGCATGACAGACCTTTGTATTTTGCATCTGTCGCTGGTGAAAGTCTGGATGATCCCTTTGGTCTTTGGGACTGAGAACTTGATGACAGATTCAAGTTGCATTTCTCAATGCAGCGGAAGACTGTGGTAAATGACAGTGGTTTTCTGAAGTACTCCAGAGCATGTGGCTATATTTGACACCATGGCATGATGGTTTGTTTTGCAATGTCATCTGAGGGCTCAAAAGTCTGTTTCAAAACAGTTTAACTTTTATTTTGCCTCTGTTCCAACTTTTTTGGAGTGTGTACAAATATTTTCTTTGTACTTTTGGGAATTAAATAAACTCACAGATTCTTGATTTGACTGCATTTTACAAAATGTCCCAACGTTTTTGGAATTGGGGTTGTACATTACATATGGTTTTGTTAGCTCACCTTACATTACATAAATTCACACAGCCTGTGAAAGCTCTGATTTAATGCTTCTCGTTACACTTGCACTCTGCGTGGAAAATATATAATATTTCGTGCACTGTTGCATCTTAAATAACTTTTGTACTGTAGTTTATTTAGTGGCATTTATAAAAGCTGTTTGATTGCTTACATCAAGAATCTGTAAAGACCGGTTACACTCATGGTGTGGATGAATTGCCTGTCGGAGACAGAAGATCATTTGTAGTTTACGGTTTCAGGACCTTTTAAATAAATGTTTTCGGGTTAAGCATTTGGAGCCTAATGATCATTTCCAAAAAAGACAACATTTTGACATAGAATTCTGTCATTTAATTCGACTAACGGTATCTGTGTAAAGTTATGACCACTAAGGCACAAGGACAACAAAGATAAGGTTATTCTCAGCTTTACACAGATAAGGTTAGCAAATTTATCGCACTGCAACTATGTTTAACCTCAAGCATTCTTTGGGACAAATGTGGGCAAAATCATTTTGTTTTTATTTGTTTTAAGTAGTTTCCTTAATCTGAGCGTACAAGACTTGACTACGTTTCCTGTTTGCCACCTGAACACACACACACAAAAACTGGACTCGATTCAACAAAGTTAAGTGGTTGAAAAAAAATTCTTCATTTGTCATTCATGGACAAAAGTGGGCACCCATAGGAAATTAATGGGAAATACTATAATTCAGTGCATTTTTTATTTGTCCAATAAAAATCAGTAAATCCAACAAAATGCAGATATACATGCATATAAATGAAGGGGTGAGCCTATACAACATTCACACTCACACACAAAGCATTGAATGAGCCTATAATATTTATAGCCTATATTTTTCTTTTGTTTTGTTTGAGCTCTCGGGGGAGTGATTATCATGAATGATTTCTGCTCTTTGTTTTCTAGTGATCGCGGAAAAATTCAGTCGCATTGCTTCAGGGTTCCCACGTGTCCTGGAAAATTGTTATTTAAAAAAATGTAATTGTCTTTTCCTGTATCCAAGAACGAACAGTTCACCACTGGCCCGAAACGATTAATGTTAGTAGTAGAAAAAGTACCATAAACATGGCATAAATCGCAACTGGCCAGTTTTTTCTCCAAACATGTGATCTACAGTCACCTCTTTTGTTTTATTTCAGGCAATCTCTGTTCCAGACTTTTAAACAAACTGTATTACAACCATTTACCAAAATGTCATTTGTGTGGAAATATTACAAAGTCTATAAACGGGCCGTTAACAAAAGCAAGAGATGCTGAAGAAACAATGAACAAAAATAATTTGTTGTAATTTATAATTAAGAGCTCATTTTAAAGAACTGATTTTATAGTTAAGTCATGGCCATCCTTGTCTTTTATTCCCACCATAATTAAATAAAAAATGTCCTTGAAGTCTTGGGAAATTATCTTTGGAAAAGAGTGGGAGCCCTGGATGATTGTTTTTCCTATCTCATTCATTTGTGTTTATTTATTGTAGCTTTGAAAACTTCTGCCAGATCCTTTTCACAACATCTGTTTTTCGAATAAACTATGAATAAAATAAAATTCATATCCATTTCCAGATCTTTATGGCACGTCCTTCACCTTTTCCCTTATGCCTCATGTTTCCTTTATTGACCAAAAATAGCACAGGCAGAAACTTGTGACATTCCACCCCGTGTGTCCTGATTAAGCACTTTTCTCATGTGACAGGATATCTGTTTGCGTATGAGAGGTTATGTGATAAACACAGCAAGTGAATACAATAGTTGTGCAGGAACAACTTAGCCTTTGATGAAACCATTCTTAAATGAATTGATAAAAGACTATATCCACATAGTGCAAATAGTGTCAGATACTATTTGAACATCAGTGTATTGCTTTTTTAATGAGTCGGTCAAAAACATTTACAAGACAGTAGCTGGTGAGGTTTTGAAACGCAATCAATCCTCACATTTTCTTCAAAAAATGGTATATATGTAGTTGTTTTTGTTGGTTTTACATTTTTAAAAATTCATATTTATTTTGCTTTTTAGATGGGAGTGCCATCTTCAAGGGCTGTTTCAAGAGGCCAGACAACGTGACCCTGGCGCTTCCTGCTAGTGCCGTAATTAAAAACATGTCAGTGGACAAGTGTGTTGACATGTGCACAGAGAAAGTGAGTACATCTGGTCTCTCTCATACTACAGTACTGTGTTTATAGTCTGTCCTATATCATCTTTTTCCTTTGTGTGCTATAGGAATTCTCTCTGGCAGCCTTGGCTGGTGAAAAATGTCACTGTGGATTTCCTACTCCACTCTTCACCCTGCATGAGCGTGAGGATGAGGAACTGTGTCTCCAGCACTGTGCAGGAGAAGACTTTGAGAGCTGTGGAAACAATGACTTCTTTGTAGTGTACCAGACCCAAGTGCAAGGTAGCATTCATTTGTTTGGACCAAAACAATGTGCTCAGCTGAGCGCACAGACAGCCCACATGCACAATATTTCCCGTTTTAAGACTAGAACAAACATGTCAGGCCACTATAGAAGCACAAAATATAGCCCAGTTCAGTCTTCACGGTGTTTCAAATGTGTGATGAGCTCTAACTGAGCTTTTGTGGCTGCATATCACTTATCGGGGTCGACCCTCACGTTTGCTAAGTTCACACTTCCTCTACACTTCCTCCTCCGTCAAAGTAAGAAGGCTTCACCGATAGCTTCACCTGTAAATTTGGCACTAAATCAATAGCATATATCATGCATTTCAGATATCTGTAGATGATTTCAATAAATGCATGCTTGTGACACTTAAATGGTGCAAATGTTCTGCTGTGCAAGCAGAGCCTTTTTCCGACACGTGCACATACATGCACTCGGCCACAAAACCACATAGAGTCACTTTGTTGACTTTGAGGCTGGGGTGATTGCCCGTTTTTAAGTACTGGTTAGTTCTCACCACAGTTTTTAAATATGCTGCACAAGTGTGTGTGAAGGGGAGGGGATGGCACATCAAAGAGTTAAAAGCATCAAAGCTTCCCTCAAATATACGCTATAGCTATTACATAAAACAATAAAAATCAAGAATATGTGGTTTGTTGATTCTCGTTAACCTTTATTTTATTCACAAAGAAAAGGTTTCCAATGATTTCACTGGCCAACTTAAATGTATTTTGTAAATATAAAGAGATTTTATATCATTTTTCTCATTTTGATGGCTGCAACACACTCCAAAAAAGTTGGGACGGAGGCATGTTTAACACTCTGTCACGTCATCTGTCCTTTTAATTACAGTGTTAAATTGTATGAGAATTGAGGATACTAATTGTTCAAGTTTTGAATGCAAAATTTTTGTCCTGTCTTGCTTGATACAAGACTTCAGCTGCTCATCAGTCTGAAGTATTTATTGTCGGATTCTCCTCCATACATTTTCAATAGGAGACAGATCCGCTTGCCAGTCAGTCACATCCACATGTGTCTATGAAACCACGCTATTGTAACACATGCAGAATGAGACCTGGCATTGTCTTGATCTAATAACCATGGACTTCCCATGATAGACTGCATCTTGATAGCAGTATATGTCTCACTACAGCTCTGTATTAGGGGCTTTTGCACCGCATCGTTTCAGGAACTAGCTAGCATGGTGGTTCATAGAGAACCAATTTCCCCCTTGGGCCTTTTACGTGGTTGCATTTGCACCGGCGGCAGGAACTCTGAAGCAGCCGACAGCATCTTCTTTGTTCGTGAATATGTTTATTCTTCATGCTTCGATTGGCCAATCAGCATACATTTACGTCACTGGTAGCTCCTATAGAACTGTTTTAGACCCTACTCTGAAGTAGGAGCTAATTTTGTTTGTCCAAACAGAGTTCCTAAAAATGAATATGTTCTTAGTTCCTGCCGTGCGAACACGCCAAAAAGCAAATACTTACGGCAATAATTCTAGGAACTATGAAAAGGTTCCTCCGGTGCGAAAGCCCCATATGCCTTCATGTCAATGGTACCTTCGCACAGATTCCAGTCACCCATGCTTTTTGCTCTGCTTAACCCCCATAGCATGACAGACCTTTGTATTTTGCATCTGTCGCTGGTGAAAGTCTGGATGATCCCTTTGGTCTTTGGGACTGAGAACTTGATGACAGATTCAAGTTGCATTTCTCAATGCAGCGGAAGACTGTGGTAAATGACAGTGGTTTTCTGAAGTACTCCAGAGCATGTGGCTATATTTGACACCATGGCATGATGGTTTGTTTTGCAATGTCATCTGAGGGCTCAAAAGTCTGTTTCAAAACAGTTTAACTTTTATTTTGCCTCTGTTCCAACTTTTTTGGAGTGTGTACAAATATTTTCTTTGTACTTTTGGGAATTAAATAAACTCACAGATTCTTGATTTGACTGCATTTTACAAAATGTCCCAACGTTTTTGGAATTGGGGTTGTACATTACATATGGTTTTGTTAGCTCACCTTACATTACATAAATTCACACAGCCTGTGAAAGCTCTGATTTAATGCTTCTCGTTACACTTGCACTCTGCGTGGAAAATATATAATATTTCGTGCACTGTTGCATCTTAAATAACTTTTGTACTGTAGTTTATTTAGTGGCATTTATAAAAGCTGTTTGATTGCTTACATCAAGAATCTGTAAAGACCGGTTACACTCATGGTGTGGATGAATTGCCTGTCGGAGACAGAAGATCATTTGTAGTTTACGGTTTCAGGACCTTTTAAATAAATGTTTTCGGGTTAAGCATTTGGAGCCTAATGATCATTTCCAAAAAAGACAACATTTTGACATAGAATTCTGTCATTTAATTCGACTAACGGTATCTGTGTAAAGTTATGACCACTAAGGCACAAGGACAACAAAGATAAGGTTATTCTCAGCTTTACACAGATAAGGTTAGCAAATTTATCGCACTGCAACTATGTTTAACCTCAAGCATTCTTTGGGACAAATGTGGGCAAAATCATTTTGTTTTTATTTGTTTTAAGTAGTTTCCTTAATCTGAGCGTACAAGACTTGACTACGTTTCCTGTTTGCCACCTGAACACACACACACAAAAACTGGACTCGATTCAACAAAGTTAAGTGGTTGAAAAAAAATTCTTCATTTGTCATTCATGGACAAAAGTGGGCACCCATAGGAAATTAATGGGAAATACTATAATTCAGTGCATTTTTTATTTGTCCAATAAAAATCAGTAAATCCAACAAAATGCAGATATACATGCATATAAATGAAGGGGTGAGCCTATACAACATTCACACTCACACACAAAGCATTGAATGAGCCTATAATATTTATAGCCTATATTTTTCTTTTGTTTTGTTTTGTTTTGTTGTTTTGTCGAATAAAAAGAGTCACTCACACCAAAAACAAAGAGTTGAATGAGCAAGTAACTGAGCATTTTTCTCAGTTTCTCATTTTTCATCCACTGCACACACACATACACACACACACACACACACACACACTCACTTACTTCAAAGTCAGATCAGAGTCCTACTGCAAAATTAGTTGATGCTTCCAAACAAAACATGTCTGAAACATGCTACTTGTTAGGTGTATTGTTTATTCTTACTAGTTTGGTAGCATTTTACGTTTTTGAGTTATTGAAAAGTGATGTTTTTTTTTTTTGTTAGAAAGAAACTAATGATTACTCTGTCTCCTTTGTCTTTTCCTTATAGCATGGTCAGATTTGTCTGTAAGCATATTTTGCCATCTTTGTATGGTCTCACCCAACACAAATATATATATATATTTTTTTAATATATATTGTATATATTAGATATTATAATATTAACGTGATAAAATCTCAAACTTAACAGGTTAAGTTTATTACAACAATGGTTTATAGATGTAAGCCTATATGCAGCCACTGAGTACTACAGCCAAATAGTGGCTATTGATATTTTTATGCCATCATATGTCACCAAAGTCACCACATTTTTAGCTTTTGGCTTACTGGGATTTTTTAATTATTGTTTTTACTGTAGTAAAAGAAATATTAAATATAACAAAAATAAGCATATTTTACATAAAATATGGTACTTTTAGATGTAAATAACTTTCAAAAACACAAAAAAATGCATAAATTGATAGTTTTTATTTTATCGAAGATAGTGATATGACATTTATTTAAAAAGAAATTGGGATTACACCCAATTCCTCTTGTTTATCACACCGCTCAAACCTGATTGAGACATTTTACTAGTTTTTTTACAGAATGCAAAGATTCTGTGATTTCAAGACTATTATTTTTGCATTTTTTTGTCCACGCGTGTTACCTTTGAGGTCATAAATATATGTGCTAGTATACTTGCTTGTCAAGCAATTTCATGGAGACTTTGAGACTTTTTAAGTGTTTTTTTCACCTCAATATCTTACATTTGCCCTGATATGTGTTCACTTTTACCTCTACAGATAATCGTTGTATGGACCGGCGCTTTTTACCCACTCGTTCCAAACACCTAGTGGCACTAGCTAGTTTCCCAGGCGCAGGGAATACGTGGGCTCGTCACCTTATTGAGCTGGCCACGGGTTACTACACCGGGAGCTACTACTTTGATGGCTCACTGTACAACAAAGGTTAACTTAACTTTTTTGTTCTCTTTTTGAGAAGGCCATCCTTTTGATTCTTGTTTGCTGATGGTCTTCCTCTCTCTTTGATCTCTCTGCGTGTGCAGGTTTCAAAGGGGAGAGAGATCACTGGCGCAGTGGTAGAACCATATGTATCAAGACCCATGAGAGCGGCAAGAAGGAGATCGAGGCCGTTGATGCCAGCATTCTTATGATCCGGAACCCTTATAAAGCCCTCATGGCAGAATTTAACCGCAAGTATGGCGGCCATATTGGATTTGCCTCTCAAGCTCATTGGAGGGGGAAAGGTGAGAAATGAAAGCTTGTTCTAAAGCCTAGTGATGTGCAATACAAACAGCAGTACTTGCATAAAGCATATAAAAACCGTGCATGTTAAATGTCTCTGTTAAAGAAATAGTTCACCCAAAAATGAAAGTTTGCTGGAAATGTACTCAACCTCAGGCTATCCAAGATGTAGGTGAGTTTGTTTCTTCATTGGAACAGATGTGGAGAAATGTAGCGTTATATCACTTGCTCACCAGCGGATCCTAAGCAGTGAATGGGTGCCGTCAGAATGAGAGTCCAAACAGATGATAAAAGCATCACAGTAATCCACACGACTCCAGTCCGTCAATTAACGCCTTGCGAACTGAAAAGCTGTGTGTTTGTAAGAAACAAATCTATCATTAAGGTGTTTTAGATTTTTTTAAATCATCGCTTCCGGCCAATATACCAGTCAATCTATGATAACGCAGAATAATGATCAGTGCTGGATAGTAACTGATTAACTGATGATCTAGATTTGTATTTTTATATCCATAATGTACAAGTCAATACAAAAAAATGGCCTGAGGGGTGAGCACATTTTCATTTTTGGGTGAACTGTCTGCTGCTAGAATTTACAAAACTTTCCCCATCACAATTTGTCCAGCTTCTCTTCCATATACAGGTGTTATTTGACGCAGTTTGGTAGGCTAACAGACCAACGTTTATAATCAGGCTAAATGTTTGAAAGAACTTCTGTTTTGTTTTTGACGTTGTCATTAGTCCTAGGGTTAAACTAAGCTGCTATACTGCGGTCGAGAGTGTGCGCTTTTTCCCTTTTAACTCTGTATGAGAAACTTGCTTAAGACTAATGATGCTTATGTTTAGGTACAGGAATCTATTATTGGGCACCAAATACAGGTTTCTGGTGTTTAAATTTGAATAGTTATAACCATTAAACCAAAACACATTTTACTTGCAGTTAATGTAATTTTACTAAAATATTGTTACATTTAAAAAAAAAAAGTGTGTAAGCTATGGTAGTGGTCAGTTTGTTGTGTAAAGTTGTCCTTACCCCAATGAAGTCCATTTTTAAGCAATTTTTCTCTCTTGTTCTGCTTCTTAACAATATATTTTTCCCACAGAGAAGCAGATACTTGTGACATTTTGGTGTCTTGATTTTCGAAATGAGCATCTTTCTGTTTTTGTTTCATTTTTGAACAGTTTTATGAAGTTGCTCGTGTGTGTGTTTTTAACACATTTTAACATTTAACACTGTGCAGTATGTTCCTCTGTTATTGTTCACTGTTCTTGTTGCCGTGCCAACAAGCTTATTAATTCTTTCTGATGCGTCACACTGACCGAAACGCAGAAGCATCTAAAAAAACATTTTTTGCTTCTTCCTTTTGTATTCCGTTCTTTTTACATCCTCTATCGTCATGATTATGCTCATTTTATTTGATTTGTGAAAAAAAGACATCAGCTCTTCATTAGCGATTATATTGTTTTCTTTCTCTCCACTGATGAGACTCAGCAGAAAATTGTATTCTATTACTTAAATACAAACAAGTTCATATATTCAGAGTGTGGCTGACTTCTGCTTAATTCGTTTTTTTCAGAAAAGTGTTCTGATCGTTGATTAAAAATATACTTAAGCAGTTCCGCTATTGAATCAAGTTGTGCTTGGTGATGTCCGATACATTTGTGCTACAAAGGTTTTCTAATGCACTAAATCTCTGGTGCCATGTTACTGCAAGATGTCTTTGTTCAAGAAGATCAACTCTCTCATTCTCTCTCAATCAGAGTGGCCAGAGTTTGTGAAGAACTACGCTCCATGGTGGGCATCCCACACACTAGACTGGCTGAAATATGGGAAGACAGTTCAAGTGGTACACTTTGAGGACTTAAAACGGGACCTTTTTTCTGAGTTAAAAGGCATGGTCATCTTTCTGGGCCTAGAAGTCTCAGAGGACCGCCTGCTGTGTGTGGAAGGACAGAAGGATGGGAACTTCAAACGCTCTGGGCTGAGGAAGCTGGAATACGACCCTTATACGCCAGAGATGCGTGCCACTATTGACGGGCTTATTAAGACCGTGGACACGGCACTCAGAAAGAGAAACCTGCCTGGTGTACCCGAGGAGTACAGACCCAGATGATACTCATCTCTTCATTTATGCTTTTTTTTTTTTTTTCACAACACACTTTTTTCCCAGCTACACCCATTTCCCCCCTAGAATATGAAATTGTTTATCATCATTCTCTTTGATTGCTTTCAGTTTTAAGAATGGTACAGTATTGCAGAAATGAACTGCTGAAAAACTGTTTGCCCTTTCATTAATAGTCTACACTACATATTAAGACATGGGCTTGTGCAACACTTTGCTTTGAGTTTAATCACCATGGATCCATCTTCCTTAGGCCAATACAAGTGTGTGCTCACTACAAATCCAGTTGAGTCATTACAGGAAATTACTGTTCACGCTTCTTATAAAAGTGTCTGTTGCCATCAAGACATCCGGGACAGCTATTTAGATAAACCCATGACATGTGTCTTTCATTAAATTGGCTTTTCCTTCGACTACTGGACTACACTATGATCCCTTAAGCACTTCAGTCTCATTGGGAATATCTGGACAGCGATTTCATTTTTAACATCTGAACCCCAGCTTCCTGTGACCACAATTATCTGGAAATTGCTTTCAGATATTATGATGCTTCTTAAAACTGATATGGACAACAAAATCCTCAATCCTCAAGTTATACCACGTGATTAGATCAATGCATGGGCGACTCGAAAACACGTTGTCTGGTACTTGCCTTCAGTGATTTGCAGGCAAATTGCAGCCTTTATTGAGCTATCGATTTAGATGAAAGCAACCAAGTTCTTCTGTTTTGTGTTTAGAGCACTTCTACGTTGAGATTGTTCCATTGAACTTTAGTTTTTCTCACTGAGGTTTTAAGATGTGTTTGCAGTGCATGGGTGATCAAAAAATGGGGGCTTCTTGTAAATTGCTTAAAATGACACTGACTGACCCTTTACCCCTTTTATTATTTGAATCTGTTAAAGAGATACTGTAGTTTTCCCCAAAATGAAAATTCATTCAGTTATGTTTTTGACAGACGTAGTCACAATAAATACATGAGAAGAGTTGTGTATCAATACTTGGATTTACATGAAGATGTGTAAATGATGAGAGAATTTTCATTTTTTGATGAGCTATCCCTTTATGCAAAAAAACTTTCTACACCAATTTATGTCCCAGGTTAGACTGTGAGAGTAGTGTGAGGTGCACTGAATAACTTCCCCACAAAATCAAATAATTCCTCCCAAAATATCATTAGATGTCAGGCTTTGGATGCAATTATCAACTTTTTTTGTTTTTTGTTTTTTGTCAGTGTTTTAATTGCAGAAGTTTTTATTCAAAACAGCGAATCAGCTTGATCTAATAATCTTGAAGGGGTGAAAGCAAGTATGAAGCAATGTTCTAAAGAGACAAAAAGCACCTCGAAGGTAAATTTCTGCTTCTATGCTGGAGACCTAATAAAATAACATTCAATACATGTAAATACACATATATATTTTTGTAATGCTCACAAGGAGAATGACTTTAAAAGACAAAGCAGCACCTATATTTTTGAAAAGGCTTTTAAATTTGAGCATTACACGCTTTTCATTTCAAAAAAGGAACTGAAGTGTCTTTCTGAATGTATTTTGTATGGAGTGAATGTAAGGAATTTCTACCAAATGATTATAGAAATCAGAGAGTAATTGCCAGCAATGCAAAGGGAATTAAATGATTGCAACAAGATTTTTATTATAATTGTAAACTGAGAGAACTGTGTGAATATATGGAAAGGTTTTGCATTTGTTTGGATGGTGCATCAGATGTCCTGATCAATAAATTGTAACGCCCCAAATTCTCAGAGGCCCAGCATTCATTTATGTATGTAGCTGCTTGCTTGCTTATTTATTTATTTATGTATTTACTTAAAGATTTGAATATGATTGTACTTTTTTTTTTTTTTACATTTATTTCTGTGTGCATTTGGTGAAAAGGCTGAAGAAACAAAAAAATAATAATTTAAGCAGTTCCGTTCTCTCTTTACAGCTGTATTGACACTGCATTTTAAATGCTTGTTGGGTTTGGCACTTTCTAGAATCGTTGAACCCTGGTTTTACAAATCTCTCATCTACTTGTCTGTTGTTTTGTGTTGTTTTCACAGGGTGGTGTGATACGAGCAGCACTTGAGCAGCCAGTGCTCAGAGCTAAATTAAGCATCTTTGTTGATAAGGTTACTGCGGTCATAATGATGGAGACTAAGGCTCCCCGCCGTACATTTAATATGTGGTAGGATTTATTTCCAAACATTAGTCAGTCTGGTTATAAAATGACTCACTGCTGCTGTACACTAAATGGTCAGTGGTGAAGAGCTGCAGACTGTAACTCAATGAATTAAACTGCTTACTCAAAAGCGAATCTAAGCGATCTTTTTGTCTGGTCATTTGTCAAAATGATACAGGAACCACATATGGATGCCAAGGCGACTTGGTTTTAAACTATTGTCTTACAGGGGTCATAGGATGCCCATTTTCCACAAGTTGATATGATTCTTTAGGGTCTTAATGAAAAGTCTGTAACATAGTTTGGTTAAAATTTCTCAATGGTAGTATAAAAAACTTTTTTACCCTGTCAAAAACTACGGAAGTTCTAAGCGGCCATGCATTATTATTATTTTCCTTCTTGTTTTCTCGTTATAACGACTTATTTTCTCATTATATCGACATAACGAGAGTTGTTTTCTCGTTATAACGACTTATTTTCTCGTTATATCGACATAAGGAGAGTTGTTTTCTCGTTATAACGACTTAATTTTCTCGTTATATCGACATAACGAGAGTTGTTTTCTCGTTATAACGACTTAATTTTCTCGTTATATCGACATAACGAGAGTTGTTTTCTCGTTATAACGACTTAATTTTCTCGTTATATCGACATAACGACAGTTGTTTTCTCGTTATAACGACTTAATTTTCTCGTTATATCGACATAACGACAGTTGTTTTCTCGTTATAACGACTTAATTTTCTCGTGATCTCGACATAACGAGAGTTGTTTTCTCGTTATAACCACTTAATTTTCTCGTTATATCGACATAACGACAGTTGTTTTCTCGTTATAACGACTTAATTTTCTCGTGATCTCGACATAA